CTGCGGGGCGCACGAGCTGCTCCCCCCAGCAGACCAGGGAAATCCGGACGGCAGGACCGCGGAGATGCGCCGTGGTCCCGCCCGCATCCTCCCCAGCTTTGCTCCGTGTCTCCCTGGTCTGCTGGGGGGGGCAGCTCAGGCGTGCCTGGGCTTCCCTGCAGCCCCAGCCCCTCCGCGGCTTTGCAAAGCCTCGGGGGAAGCCAGCAGCGGGACAGCCCAGGCGCACCTGGGCTGCCCCGCTGCCTGAGCCCTTCCGCGGCTTTGCTTCGCGTCTTCCTGGTCTGCAGACCAGGGAGACGCGGAGCAGCTTTTCTCGCCCCGGAGTACACGGGCGGTGGGACCGCGAGGTCCCGCAGTCCGTGTCCTCCGGGGCGAGAAAAGCCCCGTTCGTAACTGCGGATCCAACATAAGTCGGATCCGCGTAAGTCGGGGACTGCCTGTAGTTATAAATAATACCCAAGATTATAGTAATCAGAGAGAAAGTCAGAAAAAAATAAAAAAATTCTAGTAACTACTTTTTAAATTTGTGCCTTGAAGATCACTTTGTATATGATCAAATTAACTATTTTGTTGATAGTCACCAGCTAAGAGAATGGCATCTTAAGAGTTTGGTGTTAGTGGATTTTTTTTTTAAGTTTCAGTCAAATATAAAAACTCTTATGCAAGAGAAACTAAAGAAAGATGTTGATTATATCACTACCTCAGACTGTGCCAATTCATTATCATGATGCGGGAACCGAAGATCAAATCCCCCTCCATGAATGTCCATCGACTCTCCCAGAATGGATCCAGCCATAGCAGAACATTCAATGTGCCAACCTGGACGGCCCTGATTACAGATAAACAAGTTACTTCAATACAGGTTAAATATTTCGTGGATTTTTTGTTTGTTTTTTGATTTTAAAAGAAACCCTTCTAAATAGAAACTGCTTTCTGAATCATTCATTTGTCCACTAATAAATATAAATAAATTAAAATGACCCACAGATGTATGAGGAAGAATAGATTTTTAATTCCTTGGTAGGATACAAGAATAGTGTTGAATTTCAAGATCTCCCAAGCTGTAATAACTATGAGCAGATAGATACAGAACACAATCCTTCCCCTCTAATACTTTGAAAATTAAGTATGGCATTCAGGTAATGATATTGGAAAATATGCATTTATTCTAGGAGTTATAAGGCTTGGGACCCTTAAAGTTGTTTATACAAACTACTTTTAAATGAGTGCAACCTTCTCCCCATTCATTCCAACAGACATTTTAATTTGAACACTGAACAGAAACTTTAGGAGGTTAATAGTGAGAGAGATAATGGGAAAGTGGACATGACAGATCCCCATGTCTAGAATTACATTGATAATACTGATGTAATGGACAAAATCTTTGCACATAAACTTCTATTTGAGAAATGACTAACAACTGGATAACTATACTGTATAGCATTTTATTAAAAGAATGCTACTTTGCTATTTTGCTCAATGCCACTGAGCAAAATATTATTCCAATGAACATTTCCTTATATTCAAGATGAGGCTGTATCATTTGTTGTAAACATTAATACAGATGCTGTCCATAAATTGTAGAATGATTGGCTTATGTATTATGTTTGCAGTTGAAACACACAGATCTTTACCTTTCCCCAAGGAGAGTCCCAGGAGGGCTCTCCTGGTTTAGAGGATTTCCACAAAGCAAAATCATTTGGTGAACGTTTCTCACTCAAGCGTTCAGCCGAGATACTCAGGTCACCTGTCAATGGAGAAAACATTGTAAATATTTACACTTTCTTGAAACATTAGCTTTACCTACTCCTGGCTCTGATGTATTTCAATTAAAAAAAAAAATCTCACTAAAATTTACAACTGACAATTGTAATCCTTTGGTTCCTGACTAATCCTTAGTCTCTCCTGAGACTACCAACAAAGGTTAAAAAACAAATAGTCTTGCAGCACCTTAAATTAAATTAAATTATATGAGAAAGAATTAATGGACACAAATCAGATATCCGAAAACGCAACACACAGAAACCTGTTGGGGAACATTTTAACTTGCCTGGGCACTCATTAATGGATCTCACAGTCATCTTATTATTTCAAACCAATTTCAAAAGCCAGCTCGACAGGGAAGCTACAGAACTTAATTTCATTTGTAAGTTTGATTCCTACAATAGAAGTCTAAACAAAGACATTTGCTGGATGGTCTGCTACATTCCACATCCTAATGACATATAAAAACAAACAAAGGTACTTAAAGTGGGTACAGGACTACGTAGCACTTTAAAGACTAACAAGATGGTTTATTAGATGATGAGCTTTCGTGGGCCAGACCCACTTCCTCAGATCAAATAGTGGAAGAAAATAGTCACAACCATATATACCAGTAGCACTTTAAAGACTAACAAGATGGTTTATTAGATGATGAGCTTTCGTGGGCCAGACCCACTTCCTCAGATCAAATAGTGGAAGAAAATAGTCACAACCATATATACCAAAGGATACAATTAAAAATTAATTTTTAATTGTATCCTTTGGTATATATGGTTGTGACTATTTTCTTCCACTATTTGATCTGAGGAAGTGGGTCTGGCCCACGAAAGCTCATCATCTAATAAACCATCTTGTTAGTCTTTCAAGTGCTACATAGTCCTGTATTTTGTTTCAGCTACACCAGACTAACACAGCTACATTTCTATCACTATTCTTAAGGTGGGTACTAAGTATTCTTATCAGCTTCATTTAGCATGGACACTCTAATTGACAATTTTCCCCTCTTTTCTTCTTTTTCCTCCTCTTCCCCCACATCCCCTCTCGGTGCTATTTAATTGAAAACTGGACCTGTTAAACTTATTCATCTGAAGAAGTGGGTTGTGCCCATGAAAGCACATGATACAACCTATATTTTTTGTTAGTCTCTAAGGTGCTGCAAGACTATTAGTTGGTTTTTAAGTTTTTCCAGTTACAGACTAACATGGCTACCCCTCTGAAATTTATCAACAAACGCGTCAGTTGTGAAGCTTCTTAAGGCCTGTAGTACGTGATTTGACTGACACACTCTCTCAGCATGCATAACTACAGACAGTCCCCGACTTACGCGGATCCGACTTATGTCGGATCCACACTTACGAACGGGGCTTTTCTCACCTCGGAGGACGCGGGCGGCGGGACCGCCCAGACGCGGCGCGGTCCCGCGGGGTCCTCCACGGCTTTGCTCCGCGTCTCCCTGGTCTGCTGGAGGGCGGCCCCCAGCAGACCAGGCTTTTCTCAGGGACGCCTATAGTAGAGCAGCTGGGGCGCTGCTGGTTGGTCCCGTAGCGCCGCTCTGGGCGCTACGGGCCCAACCCGGCAGCACCCCAGCTGCTCTGCCCCAGGCGTCCTGATTCAGCTGCTGAACCCCAGGGAGACAGGAGCAAAGCCGCACGGGCAGCGGGGTCCCTCCGCCTGTGCGGCTTTGCTCCGGTCTCCCTAGTCTGCTGGGGGGGGGAGGGGGCGCAGCTAGTGTGTCCCCCTCCCCCCTCGAGCAGACCAGGCTTTTGTTGCGGGACGCCTCGGGTAGAGCAGCTGGGGTGCTGCCGGGTTGGTCCTGTGCTCCAGATTCAGCAGCTGTTGAAACTGATCAGGCTGATTCCAGGAAGCTGGGGGCAGAGCAACTCTGCCTCCGGCTTCCTGTAGTCAGCCCCTGGTCAGTTTCAGTGGCAGCAGCTGAATCTGGAGCCAGTTCCGACTTACATACAAATTCAACTTAAGAACAAACCTATAGTCCCTATCTTGTACGTAACCCGGGGACTGCCTGTACCTGGCACCGCTTTCTCTCCTCCCTGCCAAAAATGTTAAGATTACAAATGAATAAGTCAAAAGTTAAAAAGTGCCAGAATAAAGGTTGCCAGTACAACCTTAATTCAATGCTCTTTTGTGTATGCATTATAATCTGATATTCAATTACATGATTATATATTATTTTTTTCTACAGCAACTCTGTCTTATTCAGGAGAGAGCACAGGTGATGGGCTATAATCATTGAATAGACGGTTATTCAGTATTCCTTTTTATCCTTATTATTCAATGTGGGATCTCATATCCTAATTTTTGCACACCATTCAAACCTTGCATTGAATATAAAATTATTAAATTGCTCTTAGGTATCATGCTTTGTAGCAAATTTTAGCATCACCTTCCACCACAGGTTTAATTAAAAGAGAGCTGCACCTATTTAGAAAAGCACAGTAACACAAGTATTCATAAGGTAAATAACTGTTCTTGATACATAAAAGCAATTTACATTTGAAGCAATTTACATTTGAGGCAAGCTGTAACAAGAATTGATCCAACCCTATTGGAAAAAAGCTAATTTGCAGAGCTGATCAGGAATTGTTCAACTAAATGTGCTTATTTCAAAAAATGCTGATCATTTAAAAAAAAATTTTTTTTTGCAGGAAAGGGTCAATTTAGACAAATTTCTTAACTCAAAATTGTTGGATAAATGTTTAATAGTTATTGAGGAAACCTCACTGAAACATAGAATGAAAGATTCTGGGTTACCATTTCAAAATGACTTTTCAAAATGTAAGATAGAATAATTTTTTTTAATATAGAAAAAGCAGTTAAAATTGAAGTGTTTTGACTGATGCAAACTAGGGATGTAAATGGTTAACCAGTTAACCCTCAACAGATGGGGTTTACAGGTTCTGGTTAACTATTGGAGACTGATGCAGCTTCCCACCCACTATGGGCAGGAGGCTGCCCCAGCTCGGCGGGGCCCACCAAGGGTCAAGAGTGCTCCAGCCCAGGCTTGGTGGTAGCCCTGGCCCAGCCATGCCGGAGCAGCCGCTGTCCATAGCACCGTGGGGGAAGGAGCCGGAGGAGGGGAAGGGTGCACTCTAGCACAGCCAGACTGGAGTGGCACCCTCATCAACCCCCTCTTTAATCGGTTAACCAGTTAAACACTGTGTTCAATCAGTTAGTCAATTAAACAGGATTTTACATCCCTAATGCAAACTGATTCTTCCCCTTCTCTTTCCCCTCAGATTTTTGATTCATAACATTTTTTGAGAGTGACTTCTTATCCGGACTTGGGACAGAAATTTGTTAAAAAAACAAAACAAAACCTCTACTCATTCGTAAATCCAAAAATAAAAGTGCACTGTGGAGACTATAAAGTTTCCACTTTGCTAATGGGCCTGTACCAAGTCAATGGGAATGACTGATGCTGTGTATGTTGACTACCTGAAGTGAATATTGATTTCATTACCTTCACCCTCCTGAAGAGCTTTCTGATCACCTACAGCTTCAGGAACCAACTTAGCATAGGAGTGTTTCTCAGTGGCATCAAACTTCATTGTATCAAAGTAGACAGACCCATTTGAAACATAACTAGAAGGTTTAAAAGAATTTAAGAAAATCTCTATCAATATAAAACTAAAACTCAGCAAAAAGTATCTCTATTACAGCCTATATAAAATCCTCAGCAGGACTACTTGAGGAGTATGGCAAATGTTCAACATAAGTAAGGATGCAGAATTTGGCGCTAAGTCGTTAAAGTGCACGGTAAAAAACTTTAAATAAAAACTATAAAAGAAAGCATAATTGTGTCATAGAAAAGCCAATTAAAATTAATTAATTAAATAAATATAATAGCAAGATATAAAAGGACACTATCAGGTATCTCTCCTTTGTAAATGTTCATGTTTCCTCCCAACTTTTGAGAACTGATAGGACGTAGCTAAGATTCCTTTTTTGGACCAAATTTAGTTGGTGGAAGACAGAGACAAACTTTCAAGCTACACTGAGCTCCCCGGGTCCATTACAAGATCTCTCACCTACCATATCTTTCTCGTTTATTTACCAATACATTTTGTCCCCCTCTATTTGGCCAATTAGTTTTGTCATGGCTTTAATGGGACTCAAGTTATCCTTGGGTCCCCCTTCCCCGCCACATACACACACTTCTTTGTTTCAAAAGTCACCAGAAGTGTTCAGCACTCAGAGCACAGGGCCCATTTTTCAGCAGATCTATGGCATGAGCGTAGGCACAAATGTAGGTTTTGAACATATGTATATTTGACACATGATGGCTGTTTGAACTAGGGATGTAAAATCCTGGTTTATCAGTTAACCAGTCGAATGTTAGGTGAGCCTAACGTTTAACCAGTTAACCAACTAAGCGGGATCAGGGCTGGAGACTGCTCCAATCTGGCTGGATCAGTCTCCAACTTGGGAGATGCCAGCTCTCAGACCTGTGCTGAGGCTCCCAGCCCCCCCGATTGTGGGGCATCTGGGCTCCCTGCAGACAGAGGCTACTCTGGAGCAGCCCCAGGACCTCCCCGCAGGGCTGAAACAGTTAACCAGAACTGCTAAGCATTACTCATTTAGGGTGACACCAGATAAAACTTTAAAAACAACAAATAGTCTTCTGTCATCCGAAGAAGTGGGTTGTGACCACAAAAGCTCATGATACCATCTACATGTTTTGTTAGTCTTTAAAGTGCTACCAGACTATTTGTTGATTTTTAAGTTTTTCCTGTTACAGACTAACTCATACCCATCTGAAACTTACCAGATTACCAGTTACCCTTTCACATCCCTGGTTTGAAATTTACCATAATGTATGAAATTTCCCTGCTATTCTAGAACAATTAAGCTTTTAAAACTCTTCTCAGCAAGATATTTTTGTGGTGAAAAACTGTCATACAATAAATATGTACCTGTTTAAGCTATATATCAGAAAAAGATTTTAAGTTAAGATGCCTGGATATTTAGGCACCCAGGTAGAAATGTCTTGATTTTCAAGGTACTAAGCAACAGCAAGTGTCTAAGAAGTCAGTAAGAGAAGCAGATCTGCACGTGAAAAAAATTAAGCAATTTCTACTTATGTGCCTAAATAAACATATAATGGCCAGTTTTCACTTCCATTTCTGAAAATAACTGTCCAACACTATGGGTAAAATCCTGGCCCTGTTTAAGTCAGAATTTTTCCACTGATTAAACGTGGCTGGAATTTCACCCTATATCTTTATTACCTGAACTCTCTGTTTGTAAAAGAGCATAAAAACCACAGTAACATTTTTATAAGGTTTGAGATTATTCCTTGAGTGTGAAGGAACAAGCTAATTATTTTTCCCCCAAAGAAACACTACTTGAATGCAGTCTCTGCTACTCTTGCTTATAGTAACATGGCTCCACTGTATATTTCAGAATTATTATTTCAGTATTAGAGCTTTACTTTGTTACACTATAATTGCAGAAATAATTCTGAAGTGTTGCACAGAACCCATAACAGCACTTACCCATAACCATTATCTACGATTTTTTGAACAAATTCCACAATTTCCGGTACATATTCACTGACCCTAGTTAAAACATCAGGAGGTAACACCTAAAAAGGAAAATGGGCATTTATATACAATCCATTTCATATAACTTTTCATGACAGAAATCTCAATTAAAACTCATCATCCTTGTGATGTAGGTAATAACGATTTATAAAAGAGAAAAACTAAGGCAGAGTTAAATGCCTTACTCTAAGGAACACAGCAAGTGGCAGTCAGAAGTAGAACTTACACGTTCTAATTCCTAGTTTCCCGAGTACTCTGGTACTTGAAAGAGCCATTGGAACTCTTTCCAAAACTTTTTATACCATCAGCCAAGTTACTAATGGTCTGACTGCTGGAGATGAAAGCTGTTCAATTTGTGGCATCTCTGGCTAGGCAGGGATTATTCCCCATCACATTTCAGACCTACTTGCCAGGTAGAATAGCAACATTCAGTTATTTGAACCTACATATAGACAATAACATTTAGCTATTAAAAAAAACATCTCAGGGCAGGCTTGTTTATTGTCACCATAGAGTTAGTTACAATTTCTTAGGCACCCAGAGATGGCAGACTATAAGAATATAAGACTGGCCATACTGGATCAAACCAAAGGTCCATCTAGCCCAGTATCCTGTCTTCCAACAGTGGCTAATGCCAGATGCCCAAGTGGGAGTGAACCAATCAAGCAATCCCTCTCCTGTCAACCATTTGACAAACAGAGGCTAGGGACACTATTCCTATCCATCATGACTAATAGCCTAACCTCCATGAATGTATCTAGTGCTTTTTTGAATCCTGTTAAAGTCCTGGTCTTCACAACATCCTCTGGCAAGGAGTTCCACAGACTGTGTTCTGTGTGAAGCAAAACTTCCTTTTGTTTGTTTTAAACCTGCTACCTATTAATTTAACTTGGTGACCCCTAGTTCTTTTGCTATGGGAACAAGTAAATAACGTTTCCTTATTCACTTTTTCTACATCAGTTATGATTTTATAAACATCTATCATGTCCTCCCTTAGGCTATGTCTAAACTACATCCCTCTTTCAAAAGAGGGATGTAAATTAAGCAGATCGAAAGCGCAAAAGAAGTGGGGATTTAAATATCCCGCACTTTATTTGCATAATCGTGTCACAGCATTCTTTCAAAAAAGGGTATTTCAAAAGTGAAACCGCTGCCTAGACATGGTTCTTTCAAAAAACCAAACAAACCCTTTTTCGAAAGATCCTGTACTCCTACGCTGTGACATGATTATGAAAATGAAGTGTGGGATATTTAAATCCTCACTTCATTTGCACTTTCAATCTGCCTAACGTACATCCCTCTTTCAAAAGATGGATGTAGTTTAGACATTCTCTTAGTTTCCTCTTTTCTAAACTGAAAAGTCCCAGTCTTTTTAATCTCTCTTCATATAGGACGCATTCCAAACCCCTAATAATTTGTGTTGCCCTTTTCTGAGCCTTTTCCAATACCAATATATCTTTTTTTGAGATGAAGCGACCACATCTGTATTCAGAGAAAGAGAAACTCTTGTTGTGCAGTTAGTGTCCCCAGCCATACATCTCAAATTCCAGACTGAGGTTGGGTGGTGAAAGGCACATGTTAGCAATGTCGGAAGAAGGAAAATAGACCTTATTAATGGGCAAAGGAATGAGACACCCACCCGATGAGTTTGCCCAGTTCATCTAAAGGGGAAGGAATGTAGTATAGACACGTACTACAAGTGCCTGATCATTAGATGGATAGAAAAGTTAACAATCAGTTGCAGGATTGCTACAATGAAGAAAAAAGGACAGCAGGGTCTTAGGGCATTGATTTAACAGCTACCAGTTCATTAAAGGTTAAAGATTATCAATAAGGTGGTGGGCTGAGGTCTTCTAGCATAATCAGTTTGTGTGAATTTTATTTCAGAGCTTTCTGAGGGTGCAGCCAGCAGTACACATGCCTACATCATACAAAGACCATACGAAAGAAAAGCTTGTTTACTTACATTGAGGGCTTCCATATCTTTATGATACTCCCTTTCCCAGAATTTGGGGAGGCTAGAAAATATGGAGTTGTCAGTCACCTGACTGCCAAACTTGATATCTAGCCACTCAGACAGCACATCTTTTGCTTCTTCCAAGCATTTCTATGGAAAGAAAATCATATAGATATAACAGTTCAGAGAAACACAAATCTAGAAAAAGTCTTATTTATGAGCCTAGACAGTAATGCTTTTTAATAGAAAAAAAAAGTTTTCGCACTGTTAATTCTCCGAGGCATGCATGTTCTCACTCCTATCATGCTTTGCAACCTTTTGTATGCTTGGAGAAAAGATAAGATGGGTACATAATTTACATCTGGAGAATCTTTATGATGTTCTGATAGAAGATACAGAGAAGTACTGAGGGAGTTGCATTTTGCTGAAGATCAAGAGAAATATCACTCAAATGAATAAAAGGTAATTCAGTAAACAAGTGTATCCTAAATATTATTCAGGATATTTTTTCAAATAACACACAGTATGCACTCTGAGGACATTTATAATCAACCTACAAAAAATACCTACTTTAGTGAGATAATAGATTTTTTGTAAAAACAAACACATTTACGAAAGCACTCGTTTCTGTAGCTGGAAGAACCATAAGTTGGGGCAAAAAGGGTGCATTTCACAAAAGCAAGGAGCACAATAGCTATTGCACCAAACAGCTTGAGAGAGTGGCAATATCATCCAGAACACTACTCACCAACAGACATTTGTTAAAATAGTTGTTATATTTACTGAAGCTTATCCAAAGCACAATTAAGTCAATAGGAATCTTTCCATTTATTTTAATAGGCTTTGGTTCAGGCCCTTATATAAGAGAACAGATATTTCCGAAGTAATTTGGAATCATCAGTTTGATGAACAAGAGGCATAAAATACTTGCATGGTACAGCAATGAAACGGTCAAAAATATTTGCATATGCACTGTGGACAGATCTCTATGTTCAACAATTGATGTCATAAATCCCTTCCCAAGACAGAAATTCTATGAAAGAAAGCTAAAGATATGAGTCTAATATTGCGGGGGAGAAAATATTTTACTAAAACCTGGAAATAACTGGAAAAAGCGGCTATTAAAAAAGAAGATCATGAGGAGGTTCTGCAGTGCCTGAGGCTAATTTGAGTGACATGAAAAGTATTTAACTGAACTCATGACACAGTTTTACCATGTTGATTGTTATGTATTTAGAAAGTCTCATTCCTTTCTCCATTACTGTTTTTAGTAAATACACATTTATAGAATGTATTTCAGAAAACTGTTAACAAACTGGTGCGATTTAAAACTCATTCATATTGACCTCAGTATATGTCTTGATTTCTTCTCCGGGAAGTTTCTTTTGCACAGCTTCTTCTAGATGATCCACAGCAGATTTCACTGAATTCTGAATTCTTTCCAGCATTTGCTTTTTATCTGGGTCAGTGGTGTCATTTAACTTAGCTGAAAAAGGCTACATTAAGAAATATTTATCAAATAATGTACAGTAAAAAAGAAAAAAAAAAATCTATCGAAGAGGTTTAACTGGATGAACTATAGGCACTTTTTTCATGTTCTGGCGTGCTGTATGTGTAGCTCATTCAACAGTTGTATATTCCTCATGTAAAATATATTCTAAGTACTTGAGATGAGTAGAATGTTTTTCCACTAGCTGTCACATTGAAATCTATCAGACTACTCACAGAATAATATACTACTCAACATGAGCAAAGGAGGAATAAAGCCATCAGTTTTAACGGTCCAAAAGAATATTCGTATATAATTCCATTCACATTTGACTTAACAAGCTATATAACATTAAGGCTGTGTCTACATTGGCACCCTTTTTCGGAAAAGGTATGCTAATGAGACAAGTCAGAATTGCAAATGCCGTGGGGGATTTAAATATCCCCCGCGGCATTTGCATGAACATGGCTGCCGCTTTTTTCTAGCTCGAGGCTTTGCCGGAGAACAGCGTCAGTCTAGACGGGATCTTTCGGAAAATAAAGCCTTTTCCGGAAGATCCCTTATTCCTGATTTTAAAAGGAATAAGGGATCTTCAGGAAAAGGCTTTATTTTCCGAAAGATTCCGTCTAGACTGGCGCTTTTCTCCGGCAAAGCCCCGAGCCGGAAAAAAGCAGCAGCCATGTTCATGCAAATGCCGCGGGGGATATTTAAATCCCCCACGGCATTTGCAATTCTGACTTGTCTCATTAGCATCCCTTTTCCGGAAAAGGTGCTAATGTAGACACAGCCTATGTGTTCCTCATAGATTGTTTTTAATCTTTAGAACATAGTAACTACTAAAATTTAGCACTTTCCTTTAATCTCAATGCTCTCTACAAAAGTAAGCAAAGCATCATTCCCCATTTTATAGACGGGATAAATTTAACCACAGAGAAATTAAGTGACAAGTCAGTGTCAGACCTAAAATGCAGATCTCCTAGCTCCCAGCTCTGTGCCTTAGTTCATAAGGTTGATAATCGCTAATCTTTTTTTCAATCCATGACCCACAAAAAGGCCAAAAAATCATCCTTTACCTACTACATCCCCTAAATTATAACACTCCTTGTTCAATGCTGCCAATGCCATTATAGGGAGTAGAAATGTAGCTGTGTTAGTCTGGTGTAGCTGAAGCAAAATACAGGACTATGTAGCACTTTAAAGACTAACAAGATGTTTTATTAGGAAGTGGGTCTGGCCCATGAAAGCTCATCATCTAATAAACCATCTTGTTAGTCTTTAAAGTGCTACATAGTCCTGTACTATAGGGAGTGTCATTTATAATATAATAATAGTAATAATATATGGAGATATACCTATCTCATAGAACTGAAAGGGACCTTGAGAGGTCATTGAGTCTACTCCCCTGCCCTCACGGCAGAACCAAGTACCATCTCTGACAGATTTGCCCCAAATCCCTAAATGGCCCCTTCAATGATTGAACTCATAACCCTGAGCTCAGCAGGCCAATGCTCAAACAACTGAGCTACCTCACCCCTCAAGGTTATATTCAAATCTATTGCATAAAGAAAGTCTACATATATACTTTTCATATGAGGACTTTACTTAAATTTGTGTTTTTAACTTGGCACACACTCAAGTAATATTGCAGCAAAAACATGAATCTTTCTCAAATTACATACATATATGCAGATTACATGTCTGGGAACAAAATCAGGCATGCATTTTCTACATGCAATTTTATGCCTAATTTGAAAGAAATATTTGACACATATTTAATAAATGATCAAAAAAACTACAGATGTGAAGATGGCTGTTAATTTCCAATAATACAGCACCATACGTTTTCCTGGTGGATGGTCGTGATTCAGCAAGGTGCTCTAAGCAATTTTAATTTTAAGCCCAACTTTAGGCATACAAGCAGTCCTATATAAGTCATCAGAATTCCCCACATTCTTAAAGTACGTTGCTGAATCAGAGCCTTAAGTTTTCCTCTGCTAGTATCTATGAGCTCACCTCTGAAGCAATTTGAACATCCTCAAGTAGCTGGACTGCAGGTAGCTTCTTTTCTCTATACTGTTCATAAAGATAATTTTGTCTTGCTCTCTTGATTATCTATGAGGCAATAATATTGAAACATATTTCTAAAAAGGGCAAAGTCCAAAATACCAATGTATTTCCCTATTACATACTTAAGAAGGACCCCTAAATTCAACATGCTACAAGAATTATATAGCTAATTAACACCACTGAAGCGTATCAAATAAACAGCCATGAAATTAAATGCCTTAATAACCAATAATGAAGCAGGCCGCTCAAATAAGTTACCTTTGAAAAAATACTGTTAATCTTCATTGTCAATAACTGCATTCACTTCTACATCATCTTGGACAGATTAGATTTTTAACTGGTAAATGTCTGTAAGGCTTGATTTCCTCATATACACACAAATTGTCAAAATATTTCCATCCATAATAACAGAAGTTTTTGAAAGATAGGCAAAGAAGGAAAAATACTAAGAACTTATTAAAGATTGATTTAAGAGAATTTACTTTATATATGTTGATATCTGAAGTTGACAGTTTTGGTTTTAATGACTATAAAGCATCAACTTTCTGAATTTCAACATTTACTGTCATTAAACACCACGTACTTGACCATAGCTCATTGTCTGGCTCATTCCCTCCCACAACTTATAATGAAAAAAATAAATTAAAAAATTAAAATACTTAAAACTTACAATTCTGAAAATTTAAAATTTGATAAAAAGGGAAAATGTTTAAAAAATAAACAGGATACTATTAACTGAAATTATAAACAAAAATTGAATTCTATAAAATGCTACTTATACACAAAAGCATTAGGAATATAAATTATTAAAGGCTTTGCTAATGTCTAGCCAGTGTAACTGAATTAGGTACAGTAACTGAAAATCAAGGTCTTTGTGACAGAGATTAGAATCAGGCTACAGGAGGTAATTAAAGTTACAAGTCTAGCCTTATCAAATGGATAACACACACTACACACATTAGGGATGTAAAATCCTGTTTAACCAGTTAACATATTAAATGGGGATGGGTGGGAGGGCCATTTCAGTCCAGAGGCTGTAGTCTCACCCGGGGCTGGAGCAGTTACTGTTCATATCCCTAAAAAACATGTATATTGACTCCCAATCCTTGGACTTGGTCAACCTATTGTATTTTAGAAGCACCTTTAAAGACACCTTACCTTATCATCAATATCTGTAATATTTATACAGTAGAACACATCATATTTAAAGTAATCCCTCAACACTCTTCTCAGGATATCAAATGAGATGTATGACCTACAAAAAATGTCAAAAGATAGAACTTATTTTTACCTATTGGACACCTCATATATACACATCTATTATATGCAAGAACAAGGTTAATGCAGTACTGAATGAGGTTTTAAATCCTGCTCCCCCAAAGTCATATTCCCCACTGAAGTTCCCTTAGCAACATTAACTTCCCCTCTACAACTAACAGGCATTCATTGAGTGATAACAAATATAAATGGTAATTTTATTTTACTACCGTAGAGTACTAGAGTTGTCATCTAGCAATTAGACATGTCTAATTCTCTGTACCTGGTTTGACATATTCCTAGGGATTATCAGCTTTATTTTGTAAGCAACTAAATAATCTCAGGACTCCTATGGCACCTTAGAGAGATTTATCAGGGCATAAGCTTTCATAGATAAATTCCACATCATCATCTTATTCCCTAATAAATCTAAAAAAACCAAATAGCCTGGTAGCACGTTATAGACTAACAAAACATGCAGATGGTCTCATGAGCTTTCGTGGGACACAGCCCATTTCTTCAGATGACGGGCCCACAAAAGCTCATGATACATCTACATGTTTTGTTAGTCTATAAAGTGCTACCAGACCATTTGTTTTTTAGTTTATTCTGTACAGACTAACTCAGCTACTCCCTGAAGCTCCTAATAAACATGTTAGTCTCTAAGGTACAAAAGGACTCCTCATTGTTTTTGCAGATACAGACTAACATGGCTACACCTCTGAGACAAAATAAACTGTTAACTTTTTATCAAAGGAAGAAACTCTGTAGTACCTTGCATGTCCCATGTGAGAAGCATCATATACTGTTGGGCCACAGCAATACCATGTCACTTTTTTGCCATTTTGGGGCTGAAATACATCCTTAATTGGAAAGGAACATACAGTGAGCAGAAGAAATTGACACATGGTCTCAGCTCAGCAACTTCAGGCACACAGGCATATCAAGCTAATGTGATTATATGAACTTGCATTATAATACAACAATCACACTCAATTTTACTGTAAGAAAAGAATGCTTACTTTATGACACAAAACAGTTTAGCGTTTTTCATTAGCTGCAGCTGACAAAATGTGATATCAAAGTCTGGGCTTTTTCTACACTTAACAGTTTACAGCATAGCTGTGGCAGTGCTTTAATAATCAAACTGTGGCCATAGCATAAGCATTGGGAGAGAGGTCTCCCAGCACTTGATACAAACCACCTATATGAAAGAAATAGCTAACAGCACTGGGAGCTTTGCTCCCAGCGCTGTAGCATGGTTCACACTGGTACTTTACAGCACTGTAATTGCTGCGGTTGGTGGAGAGTGTTTTTTCACACCCCTAAACAAGAAAGTTACAGCGCTGTGACATGCCAGTGTATACTTGGCCCCAGACAGACAAATGAGTCAGATCTTCATTAAACCCTTAGCAGATGTTACACACACATGCAAAGGACAGCGCAAGGTCTAGTTTACATGGAGACTTTTTTCGGTATAACCCAAAGTGTGAATTTAAATCAATATAGTTACACCAGTATAACTCTCAGTTTGGATGTTGTTATTCCCATACAAGAGTCGCGCATTTTAAAAATTTAGCTTACTAAGAACATTTAGCTTAAAATCTAAAAGAAATAAGCTGTTGATTAGGGAGGTTAAATATCAATTAACTGAATAGTCAATTAACCTCATGAATTCTTATCGGTTACTCGACTATTCTATAGTTCCCAGCAATGGGGCCAGCAGCCAGTGTGCTCTGGCCCCACTCCTGAGGAGCCCCCTTCCACTCCATGCTGCTGCCTCTGTATCACTTCAGAACCCACCCCGACTCCCTACCTTCAGCAAGTCCCTTATCCTGCTTTCCTAATGCGGGAGGCTGCAGTGTGGGGTCCCAGGCGGGAGCTGGTCTGCAAGGGGAGTCAGTTTAAAAGCCAGTGGCAGCAGCCCCTGGCCAGGGATTGAGGTAGGAGGGGCTAAGCTCCTGGACCCAGCGCAAGATGGAACTGAACCGGGCTGCCTGCCCGCCTGGCTCTTAATACACTTATGCAGAGCCACAGCGGGGGTAGGTCCCAAATCTGGGGCAAGCAAGGACTGAGCTGGGCTGCTGGCCAGCCTGCTAACAAATTTACTGGAAGGTGGGGGTGGGAGGTAAATATGTGTAGTCTATAGCATTAACCTATAAGCTTTTGCTTATCAGTTAATCGACTACACTGTTACATTCCTACTATTGATATCAGAACAACAATGTCCACACAGGGCCGTTATATCAATACTGCTAAATCTTTCTCATCCAGAGAAGCCCTAAAAAGACAAATTCTAATTTGGTTAGATTTGTGTATGTTATCCACAGTAAATTCTTAGAACAGCAGCAGTATGAACGTTCCCTCCAAATGTGTGTGCTACTGGGCAGTCGAAGACTGCACTCAAATATTATACCTGGAATATCATAGTGCTGCTTATGCTTACAAACATATTTGACTAAGATAGGTATCTTTGGCACATATTTAATAAGATTCAGCAAAATACCACATCTATTTAATACGCTAAAGAAGCTTGTGAATAGATATGAAAATGATTTAAAAAAATTAATCTGTCCATTATATTTGCATCTTTACAGAAAACCCTGCAGTTCTTCACTCATTCACCTTGTTCCGAGTGAGGCTGTTGTAGAGGCAGAGTTTAGACTGTTTTGTTCCTTCTGGCAAAGACCAATGGGGCTGCGTACGTTTGCCTTTACCTGAAAAAGAATGTAAAGACAAACTCAAGAAACCTTAAAGAGTATCATAACAAATATAGGGATTTATAGTAAAGGATTTTCCATAAGTGACTGCCTTGAATTATTTCAAAAGGAAAAATAAAACATTTTTTTTTGAGTTGTACAGTAAAGGCTTTGTTCAAAATAGCCCAAACTAATTATATTAATTAGACCCTTTCCATCAAGTGGTAAAGGGATGTAATCATTTCCACACAAGTTGATTTTCTACTCTGATGCTTGTGATTAGTTTATATCCGTTTCCAAATTATAACTCTAAAACAAAAAATTGCAGTACAGTATGCATTAAAACACGTACTTTTTTTAAAATGTATTCAATCATTGAGGTAACTATGTTTTAAAAAAGATCTATAAATATTTATCTGTATAACACCACTGACCTTAAGACTGAAAATCTTAAAACTCATACAATACTTAGAAACATTTTCACAAAATCTAGAACCAGTATTGACAGAACACATATATAGTAGGAGAAAGGAAAGGTGTGGGCTGAGTTTAGAAAGAGCTTCACCCTTTTACTCACACACTACTCTGCTTCTACACCATCATTTACTACAAACATACATCCAAGTGACACACATTCAGTAAAGGAAACAGTTAGGTCTTTAAGTAATTATTGCAGGAACCTGAATCATTATGGTAAAATAAGTATGATAAATTATGGGGTAAAATCCATTACAGGTTGAACCTCTCTAGTCTGGTGCACTCTGTAACAGCAACATCCATGATCCTAGCAAGCTGGATGTCCACTTATCATTAATGTAGCTAAGTTTCCCATGGTCCCATAAAGTTTGTTTACAGCCGCCAGTCCTGGCTTGCAGCACTCAATGATGTTATTTTGTTTCAATTTACCCCTATATATCTTCTAAAAGCCAGTAAGCAGTGGATGTGTTAGTAATGCTGCTAGACTATACCAACCTCCTGAGGTCTGGCAAATTCTCTGGTTCGGCACAGATCAGGTCCTGAAGGTGCCGTATTAGAGACGTTCAACCTGTACCTGAAGGTACTATGTTTTGAGGAAGGAACAAGGAGGAAGACGGGGCCAGAGAAAGGATGAAGACCAGTGTAATTCTAAAGTTCTAATATTGTGTGGAACTGGTCAGAAAATGGAATTTCCATACTGTGGAAATTTCCAACTTTTAATAATCTGTTTTCATTCCAGATCAGAATGAAAAAATTTCTACACATTAACAGTGCCCAATACAGTGGCCATCTTGAAACATTTCAATAATGTAAAAATACTAAATATTAAGAATAATATTCAAATATATAGAATAAATGTAAATACAAAAGTCAAAAGAAAATGAAACAAAAAAGTAGAAACGGAAAACCTCTAACTGAAATATTTAATGAAAACACGTCAATTTCAATTTCATTGAGCTTTTATTTTCCAGCTGAAAAATTCTGTAGACATTTTTCTGAGCATCTTCAATACAGAGCTATCCTGCTTTTTGATAAAAGGACAGTTCAGAACAGAGCACTGTAATGCACTTTTACTCTCTGCACATGCTGGCTTCCATGGAGCAGCCTGTCCCCGCCCACCTCCCATAGAGACAATATTATGCGGAGGCAGGAAGGAGCCAGTACATGTGAGAAACGGCTTTCAGGCCATCTCCTTGTGCATATCAACTCCTGCAGAGCTGCCTGCCTCCTGCACTGCTGCAGGTGGGAGCTGGTGCTTGCGAAGAGCTGGCTTAAATAAGCTTAAAAGCCATCTCCTTGCGAGCACTGGCTCCCACCTTCTCCCTCCCCATGTAAACATGTAACCGCTAAAAAATCCAGCCCACAAATACCTGTGGTTAACATCCCTAATGCTCATCTTTCACTCAGTTTCACTGGAAGCATCTTTCTGCATGTACAACTGAGAACCACAATAATCAACTGCAAAAAGTTACTATATATATAATAAATGTGTAACTGCTGAAAATTTCAGCAGTTACATGGTTACATGTGGGGCAGGCAGGTAGCTTCCTAGGAGCCAGTGTGCACCAGCTCCCTACACATACCCCAGAGCCTGCATGTTAACCACGAAGGTTAACTGATAAGCACAGACTCATTGGTTAACCATGTACACGGTTACACTTTCACATCCCTATTGGATACATGAGCTTGATATATTTCCCACCACACATTTGAACAACTGGGTAACTAGAAGGGAGAGGCTTAATTTAATACCCTGTCCTGGACAAAAATACAATATTTAATCTGTGTATTGTACTAAGGATGTTAAATTTAGTTTAATCAATTAGTCAATGGAATTTCCATCGACTAATTGATTAGTCGATTGGTCCTGGGAACTAACCCGGCTGCATCTCTGCCTTTTAAATGATTAGGAGCTGGCAGGCTCTTAATACATTTAAAAGGCTGAAACTCAGTTTGGGAGACCTGGCGTGAGCCGAGACAGCTGATTCCTGGCTCATGCCAAGTCTCCCCACTGGGCACCAGCTTTTTTAACATATTAAGAGCCAGTAGGCTCTTAATACATTTAAAAAGCAGAGGCACAGCATCTGAGACTGGGTACGAGTTGGGAATCAGTTGATTCCTGGCTCACACCCAGTCCCCACTTCCTCTCTGCCTCTCCTGCCCCCCGTGGAGATCCAGCGTTCAAGCCAGCTTACCCCAGCACCAGCTCCTGCTTCCTCCTCTTGCTGCCTCAGAGAAACAGCAAGGCTGGGAGGGGGGAGAGAAGCAACTAGTTATTTACGTTCCTATATTGTACATTAAGATGTATTGTTAGTTCTACATATTTTATTGTAAATGAGATGTAAGTAAACACATAGCTCTAGTGCAAAACCAATCTATCCATTCCTGAGTCCAAATATCAGAATACAAATGTTTACTATTAGATTTACAATGGTTACAATGACATGCATTTGTGAAAGTGGAAAGAATGATATTGTAAGAGAAAGATGAATTATACTGTAATAATTGAATACTGTTTGTCTCTGAACAGGAAAGATATGATTATGTTTGTAGGTATGCAGCTCAGAATGAAGCTAGGTGTGCCTGGGATAACAGGAAAAGGAACATTAGGTGTTAGGCAGAAAGTAATTGAGGTAACCAGAGAGATATGAACAGGAGATTGCTGTGTGACTGATGCGGAAATAAAGATACTTGACCAGTCTCATACTAATCATGTCAAGTTTTGCCACCTTTTAATCTTGGTAAGTTGGCTTTCTTTTGACTGTATAAATCTAAGGGGTTTGAGCCTTGTATGGTACTCACATTTTCTGGGTGTATTAGCAGAGCGGCTTTGCTAATAAACAGAGCGGTCTAACAAATCTGTGAGTCCTGTGTGTCTGACTTTGACGAATTACTGTGGTGAAGTTCACCACCAAAGTCCATTCACACTCTGTCCCCACTCCTCCACTTTCCTCTCAGAGCTTGAACCTCCCAAATCCCATCATTTTGTTCTTCTGTAGGTTGAGCCTAAGTTAGTTTGTTCTCATCGACATCCCTAGCTCTCTTAAATTCTAGGAAAATATAAACAGCAATATGCAACTTTCCACACCATCTGCATACTGAAAACTCAAGGACATAACAGCTCACTACCTTCACCACCTGTCAGACATACATGCTTGACAGGAGACCTGGTAAAATTACTTTGGGAGAAGGCAGATTCATTACCACCCTTTGAAATTTTTCAAACAGAAAGGTATAAACCTATTGAAAGGCTATTCTATCAGCACCTATAACACTCTTGTGAGTAAATCAACAAAGCCTTATATAGTTAGTGCTATCAAAGATTAATACTACAGCTAACAATTCAGCACGGGCACCTTCACTGTGTCCAGGGCTGAGGACAGACTTAACTAGGCTGGGCCTGAGGACAGAGAGCTCTGTGCCCCCAGAAAAAGCAGGGCCTCGCGTGGAAGGGGCAGCACTGGTGGTTAGCCTCCCCTAGTCAGCCTTTCAGCACCACTGGATGCGTGCTACTCAAAGTTCTGGTGACACTTAAAAGGTCACAGGCCCCTGGCCACTGCCATGGTAGTAGTAGCCAGGAGCCCCAGGCCCTTTTAAACCACTGGGTCCTAGGGCAATGGCCCTCTTTGTCCCTCCACTGTCGGTGGCATTGACTGTGTCTCATGACAGATGGAAATAAGCCAACAAAATGAAAATGGTCTGTGCCAGATTAACAACTAAAACCAGACTGATAGGGCTTCCTAACATCTAGGATGATATGATGTTCTTGGTATCAATTCAGCACCACCCTCCCAACTAGCTTGACCAAAACATACTGGGTGTTAACATTCACCTGTTTTTAAGCATGTACAGGAGGTAAGTACCATGAATAACGTAATAGCTATTACATGACTTCTTGAGCAGGAACCTCATTATAAAGCATTTATTTAAGAGCAACTGGTGTGAAGAAAAACATCAGAGAAGAATGACAAACTCCCACAAAGTTACACAATAGCCTAGATTAACCAGTTAGAATTTCCTCACACAAACAGTAATTGTTTAATTACCAAGGAAAAGCTACATTCTTTTCAGACATGATCATGTAGCTTGTTAATGATCTTAAAAAGGGTAGTATTCAGTTTAAATTATTATAAACTTATACACTATACAAAATCTGTATTTATTTAACCCATTGCAAAAACAAACAAAACCCCCCAAAAACCACACATACAACCAAAACTCAATGGCGCCAACTGGACCTCACATGGTCAAAACAAACATGGTATAGCTCTGTGACAGAATAGAATTTTTGGTAATATTGTAATGATTCCTATGGAAGCCTGTTTCCATTCTTAGTTTGCACTACTAGCCAGTGACGGGGAGTGGGAAGGAGAGGAGGGAAGGGAAAGAATTAAATTTACTCTCTTAAGGCAGACCAAAGGATGGTGTGGGCAGGAGGGGAATGCGTGGACAAGCTGTCTGGGTGGACTGAATGGATTATTACAAACCTTGGCCGACAGTGACCAAGTAATCGAAAAACCAGAGAAAACAATGGAAAACCCAACCATTGGACAATGACATCCAGCAACCAACCCCCGAGAGGAAAGAGGGTTTCCTCACTTCTCAGCAGGGAAGCTAAGCAGAGCCCCAGCTTAAGAACAAAGGACTGACTAAGAGGTGAGAGAGACAGGACAAGCATAGGCTCTGGAGAAAGCTTGGGGGTTTGCTCACAAGGGAAATCAGTGACACAAACAGAGCCTGAAAATGAAGTTCACTACAGCTTGACTGGTAAATTGCTCTGGGATGACCAGAATGGGTCATGGTTTTATCTTTAGACCTCTATGCTAAACTAAGGCCTTCCAGTGCAGTCTATCCAGCTGAGCACCATTTCAACCATCGTGAGAGGTGCATTAGTCCCTGAAGAGTGTACAAGTCACTAAACCGGAGTCCATCTCAGTTGAATTCACTCAGGGGGAATCATGATGTGATGCAAAAACAATGAAGCCCCAGCAATTCAGTCTCAGGATATGGTGACACTGCATGGCCTACCCTGAAAGAAGAGTAAGAATCCCCCTGGGGGGAAGGGGGGGAGGTCTAGCACACTGAAAAGGTTCCTCCAAGAGACTGGTCCAAAGCTGGAAGTGTAACACTGATGTTCTGAATCTATGATTTATACCTAATAGTTAGGGTTTTTTATTATTATTAAAACACTGAAATGGATTCTGTAGATAGAGAAACTATCAGGTAAAGCAAATAAAGAAATAGCTTCATTATTTCAAATATCTCTGGATCCATTATATTGCCACATAATTAATTCTGCTCAGTGTAGAACTTTGAGGTAATTTGCTAATGATGTAATTAGGAGTGTGTGTTACACTGCTAGCAACACAGCTACAATATCCTAGCAGGAACAAATGGGTCACTTTGGAGTACTTTTACTAATTTTAATCGAGAAGGACTCGGATGGTAGTGATCACAATTGTGAGCTCCAAGGGCCTTGGTGCACAAGGTGTTGAAGGTTCTATTGGATCCATTCTGTGCTCTCCTTTTATTCATGTCCAATAAGGTCACTAGAAGATTTCATAAGGAGCCAAATGCTCCATCTTCAGTATGGTAATAGCACACAGCTTTCAGTCCAACGCATCTACAGGATAGGCTAGGATAAAAGTAGCTGTTTCTACCATAGACCTTTTTACAGTCTTTACCCATGTCTTTCCCACCTTGAAACTAGGTAACTGCAATATACTCTATATGGAGCTATATCTTAAGAACATTTGGAAACTTCAGCTAATGCAGAATTAACATGACATCTGTTTGAGTGAATCCTCATACCAGAAGCACACAGTACAATTCCAGTGATAACAGGTTCATTGGCTGTGGGTTTAAAGGTAGAATTTAGATGCTGCTCTTTCCTTTTAAACTCCTAATAAACTATGGGACCTACTTACTCAACAGACCACCTCTCTTTCCTTTGCTATACTGTCACAGTTGTGACAGGAGACAGACCTAACTTCCCTGGTATAAACGTGGAGGGAACTGTTCATAAGGTGCTCTCAACTATGGAATTTGTTTTCTCTTTTGGTCTGTTAGAGCCCAAATGGGTCATACTTCTGGATACTCTTCAAAGGCCATTCTTTTCTTCCTTGGACAGTTGAGGATGAAAGGAGGGAGGAGTTGAAAGGGTTTATTTTTATACTTGCTGGTAGGTTGATTATTAGAATGTCAGAAGCCTGTTATAAGAGATTTAAATTAGGGATGTAATAGTACGGTTGATTAACCGACAAGCAAAAGCTTACAGGTTAATGCTATAGACTACATGCATTTCCTTCCCCTACCTGCCAGTAAATTTTTTGCCAGGCTGGCTAGCAGTCTGGTTCAGTCATGGCTTGCGATGGATCCGGAACCTACCCCTGCTGCAGCTCTGCATTTCAAGTGTATTAGGAGCGAGGTGGGCAGACAGCACAGCTCAGTCCTGGCTCATGCTGGGTCTGGGACCTATCCTCCATTCAGCTCTGCATTTTAAGTGTATTAAGATTCAGGTGGGCAGGCAACCCAGCTCAGATCTGGCTCGCACCGGGTTCAGGAGCTCAGACTCACCCCCTCCCTTCCCCAGACAGGGATTGCTGCCACCCCACATTGCTGACTCTCTCTCAGAAGCAGCAGCATAGGTCAATAGGCAGCCAATCTGCCCCCCTCCCTTCCCCAGACAGGGATTGCTGCCACCCCACATTGCTGACTCTCTCTCAGAAGCAGCAGCATAGGTCAATAGGCAGCCAGTCTGCAAGATGAGCTGTTTTTTAAACTGGCTCTCTGCACAGACCAGCCCCCACCTGGCACCCTGCGCTGCTGCCTATGATATAGTGGAGGCCAACCCTGCCCCCAGGGACTATAGAATAGTCGACTAACTGATAAAATTTCACGAGGTTACTCGACTATTAAATTAACCGATATTTACCATCCCTAATTTAAATATTATTTTGATACTGTGGAATTTAAAATTATGTAATCACCCATAGCATGGGTGGGAAATTGATGAGGCTCTTTGCAATCATATTATATAATATGTCTACTATTTGTATACTGCCCATCAACTCCATGTCACTACTCACTTGTTTGAAGTTTACAAGATTCAATCTTTTCATTGCTGTCACCACAGATTGCTTCTATGTGCCTGTACCACCGAACAACATGGAAATGCTGGTCCATTGGTGGCCTCGAAAACTGTCTGAATACCTCCACATCTGCATGTGAAAATGTGAACCCCTGGATATAACTACGTGTGCTGAGGTACTTGTCCAAAGCCTTCAGCCTGTCTTCCTCTTCACTAATGCTCAGAATGAAACTGTAGTTGGAAGCTGCAAAGACAGAGGCACAGGACATACAGTCAGAATGAAATAAAAATAGATGCCAAAACGAGTAATGGAAATAATATAATTGAAACAAATGGGTGTGTATTAGAAATTGATAGCAAATCGAGGGAAAAAATATTTTGTCAAATGTCATGAACAATCATAAAAGGCTGTTATAAATGGTCTTCTATTTTAGGATTATTTTCTTTCATGGGAAATTTCAGGGAGAAATCATGGCTCAGAGACCCAGGCACAGACCCAGGCCTTTTGCATGAAAAAAAAAAAATTATAAACAGAGAATCTTCCACACCTAATCAGTACTTCTCTCTGTCCACTAAAGACCTTGTTCCACAAAATGTAGATTAATTTTATGCACCATGCATAGCCATATTAGTTTTAACAAAATTACTCACAACATATAAGGTTTGTATTGAAATCGATAATAGTCTGTATAGTACAGTCCCTATCATCCGACGTAAATGGGACTGACACATGGTCGGATTACCGAATATGTCGGATGATAGGGACTGCTTCCGGGAAAGAAGTGGCCCCAGCAGGAGCCCATCAGCTGCTCCTAGAGAGCATGGGGACAGCTGCTGCCACCGGGGCCGCTTCTTCCCCGGCAGCAGCAGCAGTCCCTATGCTCTCTAGGAACAGCTGATACGCTGCTGCCAGGGAAGACGCGGCCCAGCCAGGAGCCCCATCAGCTGCCCCTAGAGAGCACGGGACAGCTGCTGCTGCCGGGGTGGGAGAACGGCCCCACTCGCTGCCCCGTTGTCCCGGGCAGGAGCGGCAGCAGCTGCTCCAAGAGAGCAACAGGGCAGCAAGCGGGGCCGTTGTCCCTGCCTGCGTTGTATCCGATCCTGCAAAGTCCCTGAGAGCTGCAGGGCTGGATAAAGCAGAGTGTCAGATTACCAGGAGTTGGATAATCCAGACTCCACTGTACTTAAATTTTTGCAGGACTGGGGCCTAAGTACAGGGTCCTAATTTGATGCCCACTTTCCCCTACTTCTTCTCAATGACAAATGTTTGCAGAACATTAAATTACAGTCACTAGTGCAACTATCTGAATGTCCCCTGCATCAGTTTTTTTCCCCTCAAATGTATCTATAACATGAATCAAAATGAAAAGGAGTTACATTAATGGTCAGAAGAGATGTACACTAGCCCACATGTACACCCATTCTTTCCTATGACTTACACAGTTTATCTTGTATTCATGTAAATGTAAAGCAGACTTTGTTTTATAAAGTTTGTTCACTGTGCAGAGCACATTTACAAAGGGAGAAGTTCTGTGGTTTTTGAGGCACACTCATAATAAAGCATTGTATAAAAAGTATTTGTGATTTGCTCTTAGTGACAGTGATAGAATCTGTGCTACCACTCACATCAGTACACAAAGTCGTAAAACGTTCCCTAACAATTTAGTGCTTAAGTGCTTTCTATGGGCAATAATTTTTGATGGGGAGGGGACTATGCCGAGATTTTTGTAAGCAGTCAAGGGAAGCTCTTTTCTGTGGAGGATATGGGGGTCTGGGATGGAGGTTGGGTGCAGAAGGGAGCTGAGGGTAGGGGGCTGGAGTGCAGGAGAGGGTGTAGGGTCAGAGGGAGTTCAGGTGAAGGAGGGTGTTGATCTGGGGCAAAGGATTGGGGTGCAGGAGTGGATTTTCACCTGGGGGAGTGGTGGTGGAGGGGGTGCAGGGTCTGGGAGGAAGTTGTGACCTGAAGGAGTAGTGGTGTAGAGGGTTTGGGTGGTGACCTGGGACAAGAAGGGGTGGCAATCTAGGGTAAGGTGTTGCAGTATAGGAGGGGGTGGGTGCCAGAGAAAGGGGTAGAGTGCCTCAGGCAGGCTTTGGCTAGGAGTCATTTCCTTTACACAGCTCCGGGACAGCAGCCCAACAGGGACCCGAAGGCAGGTTCCCTTCCTGCCCAACCCCAGGCTACTCAAAATGGCTGTAGGCTCCTTCCATGTGCCACTTGGCGCCATGCGTCCCTGGAGGGGAAGGCTTCGTACACCTATCCCCACGGCAATCATCGCAGCGCCCAGGGAGCTGCGATGACTGGCCTGGGCAGCAGGCAAAGTCTCCACTAAGGGCTTTATATATCGACTAATTGACAAATCGCGAGCTGCGATGACTGGCCTGGGCAGCAGACAAAGTCTCCACTAAGGGCTTTATATATCGACTAATTGACAAATTGCATAGTCAATGCATTTTGCATCGACTATTCACTTACTTGATAGGGCACCTCCACCTTTCAAGTGTAGCAACAGCCCAGTGGGGGACTGACCCTGGGCTCCGTGCAGCGCTGTCACTTTGAAATGCTCCATGCAGCCTGACGTCAGGCTCACCACTGGGTTTCAAAGTAGCAGCATCCCACGGAGCCCAGGGTCAACTGGGAATTCCCCAGCTGATCCTGGGCTCCACGCAGCGCTGCCACTTTGAAGCGCCATGTGCAGCCCGGGGACACCCCAGCTGGCCTCGGGCTGCGCACGGCATTTCAAAGCGGCAGTGCTGTGTGGAGCCTGGGATCTGGCCCCAGGCTTCAAGTGGTGCTGCTGCTTTGAAGTACCCCCTCCTTTCCCACACCCCTTGCTGTCTCTTTCTGAAAGAGGCAGCAAAAGGGGGGAGCCACTAGTCAACTATCCTGTTGACTATCCGATAAGCATCTGCTTATCAGTAAACTAGTTGACTAGTCCTTCACATCCCTAGTCTCTACACGCACCCCCGCCCGCCAGAGACATGTGGCAACTAGAGGGAGCCACCAGCCATTTTGAACAGCCTTGGGCTGCAGCAAGCAGAGAGCCTGCCTCAGGGTCTCGGTGGGGTGGGTCAGATCAGAAGACTTGGCAGGCTGAATTCAGCCCACAGGCCTTTTCTTGCCTATCTCTGCCGTAGGAGAAAAATTCATATCACAAGATATAAGTCTCAAAAAACGTATAAGTTAATGCAAACGAAGCAATGCTCTCTTGTATGAGTATTATGGCACTCATGAGCTTTAACTAATTTAAGGATACTTTGTAAGCTTGAGTAATGATCTTTGCCCTCCACACCCTAAAATGAACTGGAAAGGAAGTGGTAAAGCATTCTGTGTCTCCTGTTTACACATACTCAGCTAACTGGAGTGATATAAAAACACGTGTCCTTCTGAATGCAAGTGAAACTAGATGTCTCAAGGGGTTCCTGGGGATTTACTGTTAAGTTACTGGCTCAAATTCAGCCAAAATTCAACAGTCATTATCAATTTTCCTTCCAATTTTTTCCAAGTCTGTGCAGAATAAATTGTTATGGGCACAGAAGCATGTGCAATCCAAGTCTGTGCAGAATAAATTGTTATGGGACAGAAGCATGTGCCCCACGAGTAGAAACACACACAGTTGGCTGTGGGCGTTCTGCTAATCAGCTGAGCCGCACGTGAATCTCTCCTGGATGGTCACCCAAGCACTCAGCTTATAAGAAACACTGGTCATTACCATCTATTGCTTGTTTGCTGACATGTAAAATACACTAACCTTCCTCCTGTTCATCCCGGTGGTCAATAGGGATGTTATATGGCATGTAATTGAACAGTTATGTAACTGCATTAAATTTTAGCAGTTACAGACTATTCAATAGTATCCAGAGGTGGAGCTGGCCATTAAATTTTAGCAGTTACAGACTATTCAATAGTCTCCAGAGGTGGAGCCGGCAGCCAATGAGATCTGGTCCCACTCCCAGAGAGCCCCTGCCACCCAGCACTGCTATCCCTGTAAAGAAGAGAGTACTCACACACAAATATATGGGGATACTCAGTGGGGTACCAGCTTTATTGGGCCCAGTGCATTCAATGACCATCCCTAACAATGTGAGTCATTTGCACAAGCCAAATGGATTCAGTTTCGGAATCTGTGCTGCAGAGAAGGTTGCTGTCTGCCAAGGCAATGAAGGCAAATGATTACAAATAGTCAAACAGATTCATAAAACTGTTACTCTAGATATAAAAGAGTCAGGTTCTCTTTTGCATTCTTTAGGGTGATTTGCAGCTTAAAAATAGAATCTATAATAGTATAATTTGCTTTATTATTAACATCACCTCAGATTACTTTTTCACCTGTTTACATTTTGCATATTATTCATCATGGTCACTGAAAACAGACTACAGGAGCCTTACACAAATTCTGCTCATCTGAGGCAGGTTATTCCCCCCACCTTGTACCTCAGACACAACACAAAAGTGGAGGAATAGATTAGGGATGTGAATGGGTAACTGGTTAACCGGCAGCCCACACCATGGTACTCGTGGGCCAGGCACTGGCAGGCCCACAACATGGAGTCTGCTCCGACTGGCCTAGGGCTTTTGACCACAGGATCCCGCTTAATCAGTTAACCGGTTAAACCTAACATTTATCTGGTTAACTGATTAAACAGGAATTATTAAATCAATTTTATTAAATTATTACATTTTCATGACAATTTTGCAACAAATGGATGAAAGAATGTACATAAACAGAATGGAAAGGCATAGAAATTCACTGAGTTAAATAGATGACATTTCAATACAAATGATGTATATTGGAGTCAAACCATTTTCTAGGAGTAGGGACTGTAAAATGGAAGGCTTGAATTAAGCAGGATCTACTGTAATCAGTTTCAGTTTTGTTCTTTAGTTTTTGTTTCAAATTCTCACAAACTAATACAAATGCTACCTCTACATTTCACACCGCTTACAGCAGCCTCCAGGGTATGTACAGTAACATGAACATATAAAAAGTAAGACTGTATCCACACTGCAGCGTGTGCACCGATGAAAGGCTCCGACAGAGGGGAAGCTGTGGAGAAAATCACCAGCAGCTTCTTACACCAGAAAATGGCTCCTGCAATGGGACGCTACACTACTAAAAATTGCCGCTACACTACTAAAAATTGCCCTATAAATAGAGAGGTACAACTTAGGCTGTAAAGGACTACGTAGGGATACAGCTGAATACATCACCACAGGTTTTGGAAATGCCTGCACTCTATTGGCAATGCCTCACCATCTATACTATTTATACCTGTGCTAGGGTATGTGTTCCACACACCTCCAAAATGTATTTACTGTGTAGAATGACCTAAAGCTACAATACTTTGGTGAAATAGTAGAGGACAATACTTAATTTAAAAAAAAAAAATCATGAAACAATGTTTAATATTAGACTATTAAAATATACATTAAGTAAACAACATTTATTTTTTCAACAATTCAACAACACCCTTATAAGTGATAAGTAATACTGCTAGTCCTTATAATAAACTTAAATAAGAATAATGGAAAATTTTTGGTTAAGTTGTTGAAAGTAAACCAGGAAAAGAAAAGGCATACTAGCAGTCACTTGATAAATACAAGACTATTATTACTTGATAAAACAGAACTATTAATAATATTTTCTAAATGTGAAGGGACCACCACTTTGGTTTATGCTTGTACAGACACTTGCACAATGGGCCACACTACAGTATTTACAGTAATTAATAACTTACAAGCAAAAACCTCTAAATTTTTTTACAAAAAAACCCTGCCTTTTTTTTTTTAAACTTGGTATTTTCAAAAGATTGGCAGGACAGCAGATGCTCCCTGAATAAAACATTGTCAATTACTCCAGGACAATTTGAGTTGCTGCTCCTACACTGATTAGACAAGACTTTTTGATGATGTTGGCTGAAAAAAAATGCAGACAGTCACTTCTTTGCTACCTATGACTGTACACCACAATCATATCTGACAAGTTTGTTTCTCTGAAACAAACCCCACACCATACTGATTCTTATAACCTGTAGAGCCCATCATTAGAAGAGACTGTCATACAATAATATGAGTTCAAAAGAAGAAAAGCAATCTTTAGAAGACAAAGGAGAAGGGACAACATAGGATTTCAAATACATTTAAGCTATATAACAGGGACTCCTAGACACTCACATATCAATAATGGTATTTCAGGCTTGTATTGCTGGTATTCCAAGTTTTGCCTCATAAAGAAGTAAGTGTCTCACTCTTCTACCACTGCTCAGTTTCTGTGAGAGCAGTCTACCCATCCCAATGGCATAGTTATACTGACTTAGCACAGACCAAATGTGGGTCAGATAGGCAGCTGTAGCTGTCTAGGAAGCATAGGATACATATGATTTGTTACACTCATAGTATCTACTCTAATCCTCCATGGTGTAGTTTCGAGGGCGCATATAATTAGCAGCCACCTATAGCAGTTAGGTCCTTGAAAGCTCTTTAAATCCAAACTTCAAATATCTCAGTCCCAACAAGTGATGAGCCTTTGCCTCTCACTACTTCTTATCTATAAGGCAGGAAGACACCTCAGTGACATTCACATGAGCTAAAGTAAGTCCCCCAGCTCTTGAAACAGCACAGAATTCATAGCGCCCCTTCCTAATGTACTAGAAAAAAGTAAACATCTGATGTCACACGCCACGGCTAGAACACCTGCCACGGTCCGGGCATTTGCAGGCTCACCCCAGTTTCGCAACTGGATATTTCAGGTTCTGTTCGAGTAAGGGGTCAGCCCCGCAGCAGAGTTTTGACACAGCGCGGCGCTAACTAGCAAAGCCGGCACAACACGTGAAGGCAGCGCTACGCCCCGGGCTGGCCCGGAGCCGGGCACTGGTGGGGCACCACAACGCGGTGGCAGGGCACGACACCGCGGCACCAGGGTGCGGGGACATCACGCCCCAGCGACAGGCGGCAATGACACCAAGAGCCCCGGTGACATTTCCCCCCCCCTCCCAAACCCTCGTACTAGGACACGGCTCCTGGATGCAATGACATCACGGCGCGGGGCAGGGTAACCGCCCAGCGGGTCGCTAGCTCGCCCCTGGCGCGTGGGGGGAGGGCACGCGCCAGTGGCAGGGCGCGAGGACGCAGTGACCCGTTGCCATGGCACGGAATCTCTACCCCACGGATGCGACACCCCGCCCCTCCCCCATACTGCTGCCTTGCATCTCGAGCGGCCTTAAAGGGGCCGCGTCCGCCCGCGCCCGGGACCCGCCACTCACCGTGCTGCCCGCCGGCTGCCGCCATCCCGCTCCCTCCTCCTCCTCCGTCTGCCGCGTCCGGCCGCCTAGTTCTCTCACAGGCTGATGCAAGACCGCACCCGGATGGGAAACCATCGCTCCGCCTCGGGCCGACACTTCCGGTGACCACCGAGTAACTAAGCAACGAAGAAAAACGCACCTCCGCCGCAGCCGGTGTCACGTGACGGAGGCGGTCGAGCCGGCGCGACAAGAAGCTGGTGCGCGTGCGCGACTGGGAGGTGCCTTTCCAGTCTCTCTTTGCCTGCTAGCAGCCCCCCTCCCTCCCCGAGGCGGGGCCTGTGAATTCCATCCCTCCTCCACCCAGCTCTGGGAGGCGGGGCTTGTGAGGCTCCTCCCCCTCCATGAGCTTGGTCCCTGCAAAGAGAAAGGGACTGGTAGGGGGTACTGCGTTCCCTCCTCTGGGCAAGAATTAGGGCCTGGGGGTTCCCCCTGCCCTATTTACCCTCCTCAGGAGCCAATGGGGGAAAGACCTGCAGGGTTGTCAACTCTCCTGGGCCAGGCACCATTGTTACAAATGGCATCCGGTTTGAGTAGGCAACTCTGACACCATCATCTCTGCAGAGTGACCACTGGACAGTGCTGTCAGCCCTTATCACATTGAACATCATTGCTGTGTCTAGACTGGCAAGTTTTTCGGCAAAAACTGGCCAGCTGTCTATACTCGCTGCTTGAATTTCCGCAAGAACACTGACGATCTCATGTAAGATTGTCAGTATTCTTGCGGAAATACTATGCTGCTCCCGTTCGGGCAAAAGCCCTCTTGCGCAAATGCTTTTGCGCAAGAGGGCCAGTGTAGACAACGCGGTATTGTTTTGCGCAAGAAAGCCCTGATCACGAAAATGACAATCGGGGCTTTCGTGCGCAAAACCGCGTCTAGATTGGCACGGACGCTTTTCTGCAAAAAGTGATTTCGCGGAAGAGAGTCCATGCCAATCCAGACGCTTTTTTCTGCAAATGCTTTTAATGGAAAAACTTTTCCGTTAAAAGCATTTGCAGAAAATCATGCCAGTCTAGACATAGCCAATGAGTCAGAGGCCTCTGCCCTCAAAACCTTTGATATTGGCATAGACATGATGAGTTGAAAATAATAAATTGTGGGATTTTCTGGCGCCTGAAGTCACACTTGTAGGCAATCTTCTCGCTGTAACCACAAAGGCTAGGGATGTGCATTTATTTTAAAAAGGAAATTGAAAGTCTCTCTGAATCAAATTACACCAAATGAAGGAGTTGGGGCTTTATAAAAAACACCAACTATCACGACAGTCGGGATACAATCACATGAGTTGGCATTACAGAGAATGCTAAGTTCTATTCACCCATGCCACCATGGATGCTATAATAATGGCACAGCTGCCATCAAGAGGTTTAATGTAAGAGCAACTTGAGGCTGATTTGTAGAAGGCCCTTGACTGACTATAGTTAGTCTGTGCACAGTAGAGCAGAGTTATAGGCAGCCCTAGCCCTGAATACTTCAACTCTGCAGGTACAAGCTGAAATCTTGAGTTCATATTACATAGCTGTAAATTAATACAGAAAGCAAATGGAGAGATGCACCATAATATAGAGGTATTAGGTGCAGGAATATAGGGCGCTGCTCTGTTGGAGCATGGCAGGTTCCCCGGTTTTAAGGAAAAAGTTGATACAAATCAGAATTTGGACCCACTTCATCTTCCTTCTTCTTCCAACTCATCAAGAACATATGTACAACAAGGAATCTAGCTTCAGTTTTTAGTCAAGGTGAGGAGACTATTGTTTCAACAATGCTGATGTTATTCAGTTTCAGTTCTAGCCCAAGCATCACAATAAAGCTAGGGGGAGGAAGGTGCTTATGATCCTTTAAACCAGTGTTACTCTACCCATTTACCATTGTGGGCCACATGTGCAGCTCTCCATGGGTATATCTACACTGCACCTGGAGCTCAAAATGAACTACCCAATTTAAGCTACACAAACTACGTCTGAGTCAATTTCGAAATAGCTTATTTCAAAATTTGGCACCATCTACATAGCACTTATTTTGAACTAAATCACTATTCTGAAATGTCCCTTACTCCTCGCGGAATGAGGTTCACAGGGAAGTTGGATAGCGAGCTTGTTATATTTTGAAATAACAGATACGTTCAAAGGACATGGAATAGCTATTTTGCAATACCTGTGGTATCCCAAAATAGTGCTGCAGTATAGAAGTAGCCTGTATGTTATGTGGGCTGCCTCCAAACTATACATTACCTGCAGGGCGCTGAGGATGTCACATGGGACAAAACTACGCCGATAGGGCTGAAAACCACTGTTCTAAACAGAGGTTACCCACATCATTTGTGCTACCCCATCCCAGTGCAATATGCAAGAATGCAGAGACAGAATTAATGCAGATTTTTCTTGCTTTTTGCCTAACAATTTAGCCCTTTAATTGCCTAACAATTCTTCATTAGTATAACTTTTGCTTTGTGTAAATACTAAAACATGGATTGAAACAAAGTACATTCAATTCTGGTCTACCTGGTAATAAGCTTTCTCTTTGTAAGCAGAAAGATTCAAAAAGCATGAAGGAGCTTATTAAATCTTTTAGCATTAGGGTAAGAATCAATGTACTGGAGGCATAAAATATTAAAATACATATTTGAAAAAGTTATATTGTGTCAAATGTCACATGGATATTCACTAAAATTGTTGTAACCATAAGCAGTTGCTAGCTGTGTATTGTCCAGAGCAAAGCTTACATTTGCTCCTCTTCTCTGTCCAGTTTCCCCACTAGATCAGTAAAAGGTACATCACAATAATACCTTGTCTGCCCCTGCATTTTAACCACTAGTACAGCTGCATTTGTACAAACTCTTACCATGGACACATTGGTGCAATTTATGCCATATGATTTTACATTGTCACAGATATAACTCTTACCATGGACACATTGGTGCAATTTACGCCATATGATTTTACATTGTCACAGATTTGTAGAGCTATAACAGTGGCTAAAAACCTAATGGAGACAGGCCTCAAGAGAGGCCTTGGTAAAGTATTTGTGAATTTAATCAATGAAAATTATCACTAAAAGGTGTATAATATTACACACACAATCCCATAGTACCTATAAATAGCCACTAAAATTTTTAGTCCAAGGACAGGAGAAAGTAGAATATTAATCTTAAATGTATCCAGGCCAAAAAGTTAGAATTGTTGCAGAACTACTAATAGTATTATTTTTAAAAAGTCTCCAATTACTAAAATAAAACCTTCAAAATTAGAGACCAAATGAGACAGAATATTCATTTATAAAACAGCACATTTAAGAAAGTGGAAATCTTTTAATAGAAAAAATATATAAAAGTACATATTCAACAAGCAGAAGTTTGAAGTAGAAATTCTATTTGCATAATTTCATTAGATTGGACAATAAAAACAATACAGTATTTAAATGGTTAAAACCAGATTTATAGATTGTTACATATACTGATTACATACTGTTTATTAGTAAACCAGGCCCATTCAAACAACTGCATTTTGCAAAGACAAATGCAATGTTATACATCTAGAAACAAGGAATACAGGCCATACGGACAGAAAGGAGAATAGGGAAATCAATGCCCATGGAAAAGATTTAAGGGCACAGTAAAAAAATAATTAAATAAATAAAAATCCCACACCAACATCTCTGTGTGATGCTGTAGCAGAAGGCTAATGTAATCTTTGTATACATAAACAGGTTAGTGAGGTAAGAAGTGATTTTATTTCTGTGGCACTGGGGAGATCAATAGCAGAATAATGCTTACAGTTTTGGTGTGCACATTTTAAAAAGGATGTTGAAAAATTGGAAAGTTACTGAGATGAACTACAAAAATTATTCAAGCGCACGAGAAAATGCTTTATGTGGAAGACTTTCTTAGCTTATCAAAAAGATGAGGCACTGGATTCCAGTAAAGAAGCACTTTCTAGGGGAGAAAATACTGGGTACTACAGGGCTCTTTCATCTAGCAGAGAAAGGCAAAATAAGAATCATGTCTAGAAACTAAATCTAGATAAATTCAAATAAAAAATAAGGCATAAACTCCTAACAGAGAGTGCAATCAGCCTTTGGAACAAATTCTCAAGAGATATGGTGGATTCTTCATCTCCTGATGTCTTCATATTTTGATAGGATGCCTTTTTGGAAGATATTCTTTAGCCAAACACAAGTTATTGCCCTCAATACAAGGGTCACTGGGTGAAATTTTATGACCCGAGTAACACAAGAGACGAGACTAAATGGTATAATGGCCCATTCAGACCTTAAACTCTACGGATCTCTTCAAATTACAGTGTTCTCAAACATATTCTTCACTGCATATAAAAATAACTGAGGATTCTGGATGTTGTTTATTCCTGTTTATCAGTACAAATAATATGCTTCAAAATCGTCCATAACAAATGTCACTCCCTCCAATTACTATACAAATAACCTTACAGTTCTCATTTGGAAAGACATAACATTTAAAGTTTATTATATAGTTCAGTGTAAACCTATGTTCTTTCCTCAACCCAACATGAAAAGGGTACCTGAGTTTATTTAGTATATTACAATTCAGGACAAATTCTTAGTGAACTCAGCAACTTGAATGCTTGTCATGTTTAAGTAACGACAAATTGAGTACTGTAATTTTCATTTCTGAGACACAACAATTCTAGATGAAATGAGTTGCAGTGAAGAAATCAGAACTCATTTCTCTGTTTGTTTTACCAGTAGGTTTTATGTTGATATTTTCAGTTTTCTCAAACCAACAATTTAAAAAAATGGCAACATGCACTAAAGCAGGTCACAAACAGAAACATGTCTTTAGAATTTACAGATTCTTTTCGTTTTGGTTTTTTGTTGATAATAGTATACTCAATAGCCTTCAGCCTCTAGTATAGTTATAATATCCTTACTTATTAAATACTTTACTATGTTTTCATAGGCCCTTCTAAGTCCTATATTCCATAAACTATCTAATAATTTAATAATAGAAGCCTCATTTCCAAATTTGTTTCTCCAAATGATTAGCATCTGATAATATTGTTCTTCAATATTTTTCGGATGGTCAAAAACTGTTTTATGAATTTCATTATCTGTTAGATGAGTTCTCATAAACATGTTCCAGTTGCATGATGGTACTTCTTTTATAAAATAATAAAGAATGTCACTCAGTCCTAAGGGGGGAAAAAAAACACATCACTAAATATTTTAAAATGACCTGTTCAATAGATGCATATTGTACACTTGTAGAAGTTCTGAGAAAAATTCAGTTCAATTGCCGTTCTACTACTTTTTCAATTTGTAGTTTTGCTTTCTCTGGCATATAATTTGATTTAAGGGCTTAAATAAACTCTTAAAAGGAGAGTATTCCAGCAATATATTCCATTTGTCAACCAGGTACTGATAAATTGGGAATACAAATAAAGAGGCATGTTTTAGTTTGCATGGTAGCTATCTGTAGAAGATGAAATGTGCTGTGCAGGAAACATCTAAAGCTGAAACTTTATGTCATAATAGTATTATAACTAAGTTGTTCTAAATGGAACCCTCTTATTCCTTTAATATACAACAGATCTCGTTTACAAAGTGTGGTATTGTACAAGAACACGGTATGAATTCCTATGAGCACCAATGTACTGCATGCTAACTGGCCCATATAGATCCTGCTTGCATGCACTAAAAGTTCCTTAGTGTGGGTCAAATTGCACTACGTTAATGTGCACTAGAGACTTTTAGTTGGTGCCAGCAGGGTCTACATGGGCCAGTTAAAGTGCAACATGGTGCATTTTGGAGCTCACAGCCTTCTGATTAAGGTTGCCAGGTATCCAGTATTCTACCGGACAGTCCGGTATTTGCGCTCTTTGTCCAGTAAAAAAAAATAAGAGAATACAGTACATGTGCAATGTCCGGTATTCTCTGATTTTTCCGGCTGGGCACCGGACGGAAGCCTGACGTGGGCAGGGGGAGCAGCTGGAAGGCGGGGCCACGATCGGCGCTAGGAGCCTGTGATTGCGCAGAAGCCTTGCTGGGGTGGGGGGAGTGGCTGGGGGTCCCTGCCATTCCCCCCACCCCCGCCAGTGTTCTGTGCAATCACAGGCTCCCAGCGCCAATGGTGGCCCCGCCTCCCAGCCTGGGAGTACCAGCTGGGAGACGGAGCTGCAATCGCAGCTCTAAGTGCTTCAGAAGCCTTGCGGGGGCTGTGGGAGTGGCTGGGACTCTGAAGCTAGGCTTCTGAAGAGCCCAGAGCAGCAATCATGGCCCCGCCTCCCAGCTGGGGCTCCTCTGATTGCGCAGAAGCCTGGCAGGGACGAGAGGAGTGGCTGGGAGTCCATCTGGCAACCCTACCTCTGATGCATATTGCTTCCATCTGTAACCAGGCCCCAACCATAGGACAGGAGCAGAGAGAAGTTTAAAATCAAGTTGTATCCAAAATCCCTCATCAGAGACCGGTCAGCAAGTCAACAAAAGTGGTGAAGCCTATCCTAAATCAACAATCAAGGCACAGCTACCAATTGCTTTCCTATTCAAAACAGTCCTTTAAAAAGGCCAAAGACAACATTATGTGTACTTCCAAGCAGTCTTTTAAAATGGGAGGTTGTCTACTGAAGATGGTCTTTGTACAGGTTTCACTATAGTTTTAAGGTTCTTGTTTATTTTTTATGCCTTTCTGACCATTCTTAGCAATGATTTTTACCCATATATCTATACAACTATTAGTGTGTTATTGTCTGCCAAGGTAAGGCTAATGTCACCAGTACCTTCAGATCAGAACATGGTTTACCTCCATCAGTGCTACATAATATACCAATTCACAATTAGATTTACTAGTATCTGATACACTCTTGCCTTTTATGCATTTTAATGGACATTCTATAAGTAAAGCTGCTGTCCAAAAATAACCTCCATTTGGTTCACACTGCAGATTGCAGAGCTGGCACATAAATGAACTTATTACTGGAGTACGGCCACCTCTAAAAAGCGACTGTTTTTAAAGTTAACACACACTCTGAACAGTGATCTTTAACAACATGAATATATGAGGGGGAGGTTGTTTTTCCTAGCACAGAACTAAGATTATGTGACCCATAACATAATTCCTAGTGCAATGGCTTAGTGCTGCCTGACCACTCAAGGTTCCTTCCAGTTCTATGATTCTACATCTCCTGTCCCTATCAATACATAGTGAAAGAACTGTATCCTTAGTAATAATTATTTGTAATGAAATGTGTGTGTGGAGGGGTTGTACAAAAACAATGAAAATACAGAAACAATCTGCAGTTAAGAAGTTCTAATGCTGAGAGCAGGACCAATGGTTTGTAAAAATTTAAACAAATATCTATTATTCATATAGACCATAATTATGTAAACTCAAAAGAGGAAGTCAGATCAGCCCAGTATTCTGCTGACTATTATCAATTTTAGATCCCTAATACGGTGGGGTACTTGAATTACTCACCTTCTTGGGAAAGGTCTTTAACTTCTATATGAGGCTTGGCTTCAGAATCCCCGACCTGTAATATAATATAAATATTTATTTTTATTCAAACAGAACCAAACGTTCTTTGTTCATTTACAATCCTCGTCCTTGTACCATCTGGTGATTTGATTTCACAGACTCTAAAATGGTGGGCATGAGAATTCATAGTCTTCACAGAATAAACTCAAAAAGCCAGCTCTGCCCTAAGAATTGAGACAACAGTATGATGGGAGCTACAGGTTACAGGGATATGCTGGCCACTGCTTCTTGTAACTCCCACTATCCAGGAACAGTAAACCATGGCCAAAGGGAGCTGTGGGTGGTGCTAGGCCTGCAGATGCTCATTGTAAACTACCTCATGGCTCACCAGCGAATTACCCTGACAGGCCATGTGCCAAAAGTAGCTCTAGATCAGTGGTCCCCAACCTTTTGAGGTTGTCGGGCGCCGGGGGGAGTGGCCGTTCACCCGCCGGGCGCGGAGGGGGTGGGGACACTTGCGCGCCTGGGGGCGCCCCCCCCCATAGCCGCATGCCCAGGGGCCCCCCCCATAGCCACGCGCCCGGGGCCGTCGCTCTCCTCCCCCGCAAGCGCCGCGCGCCTGGGGCCAGGGCCAGGGCCGGCGCTTCACCCCCTTCCCCCCGCAAGCGCCACGCGCCCGGGGCTGGCGCTTCCCCCCCACAAGCACCGCGCGCCCGGGGCCGACGCTCCCCGCAAGCGCCGCGCCATGTGCCTGGGGCCAGGCCAGCCCCGAGCACCTGGCGGGCGCATGGCGCCCGCGGGCACCGTGTTGGGGACCACTGAACTAGATGTTAAGAGAAGCTATTACATTGCTTCTGTGAGGTTATACTTACCAGCCGAGATATAGGTATCCCAACATTTGACATATTAGAGTATCCTGTGTGAAAGGCAAAATTAGGTTTCTCTGGAGGCTTCACTGGTGCTGAATATTCTGTAGTCCTGTGGGAAGGCCCTTCCCATGAGTTGTTTTCATCGTTTAGCAGTAGGCCACTTCTCTCAGAAAATACAACACAGTTATCCTCGGGCACTTCACTTTTTAGCGCAGAATCAGAACTATTAACTGGTGGACTCTGAACAGAGTCTTGGATCTCTGAAATGGGTGTATTAGCATTAGCATTCTTCTTCTCCGGTGCAAAGAACATTTCAGTGCTGTCCTGAGACTCCTGTAAGGAATGAGTGACTTATTAAAGAGTGCTATTCAAATTGCTTTATGAAAGCATACATTGCAGTGGAAGATTTTACACTTAGTGCCTCCTCACAAATGACACATCCCACATAACATTGTAGCGTCTGAATTTTTACTAAGTGACAAACAGCAAGCTTTAACCACTAGACCTTTGACAGAATAGCAAAGAAGTTACATGTGAGATTCTGTAGATAGACCAGAAAACATTTCACTACGATCATTTAAAGAGAGATATCTGCTTTGGGCCTGTGAGAAGACAAGCAGAATGCCTCCCCAGCTCTTACCACTACCCCAGTTTAACCCGATATTCTTTGCATCTTCAGTTTCTTGATTGTAACCTATTTCTTTGCTAAGCCTTTACAGCACACACAACCAACCACACCCCACAAGTTCAGAACAAAAACAATGACAAAACAGAGCAGGATGAGCCATTTACTATGGGCCTCAAGAGTCACACAAGTTTAAAGTGACCGACTTCCCTAAGGCATCTGGCAGAATTGAGATATTTTGTTTAAACTTTTCCTAGGGACAGCATTTAATGAAGGTCTTTCAACTGTCTCTCTCCCTTACTATTATTTAAGTAAACATCGCTATTAAATAGGTAACTGAGAAAGCCTTATCTGTGCCTACCAACGATATCTAGTATTAAACTTTAACCCAAATATATAAATAGGAGCGCCTTAAAACCTAATGGAGAAAATGCAGATTCTACAAAAATTCCCTCCAAATTACTATTTGCCTTAAGCAGGTTGAATTTAAGTAATATGTGCAGTTCTTGGCACCTCGATATCACAGTGATATTTACAACTGCATAGTTCCAAGGAGAGCAGCAAAAGTGATGGGGCTTTTATTTGTATTGCGACTATGTGTCTCAACACCAAGCATGAATCATAGGCACTAACTTACGAGCAGAAGTCAGGACAAAAGTCAGGGTCACTTTATGACCTCTATCAACCTCAAATGGAATTAAGATGTAAGCGGATCCATTTAGGACATTGCTAGGGGATGCAACTAGAAATAATGGTATTAAGTTAATGAAATGAATGAAAAAGTTAGGTAATAAAGGAAAGCTTTCTGACAGAGAATTATTAAGGATCTGAAATATTATTCCATGGAAAGTACCGGAGGCTCCATCATATCAGACATTTAAAACAAAACAAGACACTAAAGAATACATTATATTGTAGAGAGTAATCCAATATTAACAGGAGGGTTAATCAGAGAACCAACAAGTTTTGTTTTTTTCTGCATGACATGAAGAAAAGTGTCCCAATTTTCGATGGCAATCAAGACAGACAAAGTGACTAAATGTGCATTATTTATAATTAAACAGATTGAAACTATTTGTTTAATTAAAAAGAACTTTTGTTCAATTAATATACAGGTAAAAGGGAAAAAATGGCATGTGTCCAAAGGAAAACTTACCACATCTTTTTCTGCATCTTTGTTTTCTGAAACGTAAGAAGATGTATTAAAAACATGGGCTGTGCCCACAAAAGCTCACGATACCATCTACATGTTTTGTTAGTCTATAAAGTGCTACCAGACCAGTTTTTGTTTTTTAAGTTTATCCTGTACAGACTAACTCAGCTACCTGCTGGAGCTTCATTCTCTACTCAGTTATTATATAGATGGAGAAATACCTCTCACAGAACTGGAAGGGACCTTGAGAAGTCACTGAGTCCAGTCCACTGCCCTCACTGCAAGACCAAGTACTATCCCTGACAGATTTGCCCCACATCCCTAACTGGCCCCCTCAAGGGCTGAACTAACAACCCTGGATTTAACAGACCAATGTGCAAACCACTGAGCTATCCCTTCCCTTGTAGACATTAATACACTAATCCAACTATATTTTAAAAATATATTAGTGTGAATTAGTGTAACCACTACATTGAGAAGCTGTGTAAGGGAGTTACTCAATCTTAACCACAACTTTCAATGTTGAGCAGGCTGTTCAACTAGAGCAGGCTGACATGTTCAAGGAACTGTAAGACTCCCTTCTGCCCAAATGGATGGGTCATACTGTACCTGCTACATAGATCCCAATTAGAATGCTTGATTAATATCTAATTCCTCTTAGTAATCCCAGCCAAATTCCATTTGTTCTGAACATGATCTTTTCCATTAACTGTAGAATCTGAATAGTTTACTATAATTTTTAAGGCCTCAGTTCCAAAAGCTCGTCAGAGACATACTCACAGGGCTTGTCTAGACTATGCAGAAGATTCGAAAGATGCTGATCTCACTTTTGAAAGCAGAGCTTTCTAAAGTGAAAGTAGTCAGGATGTGGCTTTTTCGGCAACCCCTCCTCCCTTTTTTGAGCCACGTAAACCTCATTTTTGAGGAAAAGCGGCTTTTTGAAAAAGGACGAGGGTTGCCTCTTTCAAATCTTCCACATGCTCTAGATGAGCCCTTAGTTCCCTCTGAGACAAATTCTGATCAATTCTGCTTTTAACAGACGTAACAGAGAGCACATTTTGGCTCCCTTTTTGAGAATTCTGTACAGCTGAACTAAACTTCTAAATATGTGTATTTTTTTCCAACTACAGATTGAATCTCCCAAATCCTGGACTCTCTGGTCCAGCAACATCCATGATCTAGCAGGGCCAGGGATGTTGCTGCACCAAAGAACCCCGAAGCAACGCAGTGGCTGCGGAAGCTGTGGCTGGGCTAGGCGGCGTCTGGGGAGCCCTGCCATGGAACCCCCATCATCAATGGGGCCAGGTGGTGGCCAGAGAGCCCCAGCATCAATGGGGCCAGGCAGTAGCCAGGGAGCTCCTGCCTGGGCTGGTGAACCCCCGGCTGCAGCTGGGCTGCCTGTGGCCAGGCGGCCCTAGCCAGGAACCCTGAGAAACCCTGGTGGCAGTGGGGCTGGGATGACCAGGCAACCTCTGCCGGGGAACCCCCGGCTGAAGTGGGGCTGGTGGAGGCAGGTAGCCAGAATCCCCAGCAGCAGTGTGGGGTGGCCACGTGGTGGTGACTGGGGAAGCCCTGGTGGCAGCAGAGCCAGCTGTGGCAAACACCCTGTGGCAAAGACCAAGCAGTCCACCCCTGGGACCCCAGGAGACCCTGGGACAGTGGGCAGGCAACAAGGTGGGGAGCTGTGATGGGCCAACATTAGTGGGGCCAGCGGCAGGGCAGGGAGTCCTAGGGAGAGGAGCCCGGGAGTGGGGCAGCCAGCAGAGAAGCACTGACCTCCCCTGGTCTGGCAAACTCCCTGGTCCGGGTCAGCTCAGATCCCAAGGGTGCCGGACCAGGGAGGTCCAACCTGTAGTGTCATTTTATATTCAACAATGAAAAAACTAATACCCCTTTCTGCCTTCTTATTCTTATGTTTGAGAATAGGGTTATCTTCCAGGATTTGAAATAGGATTCTTAGAGGATTTAGCAACTTGAGCAGCTTCCACGTGTATAATGCTAAAGTGAAGCTAGTAAACTTTACACTCCAAATAAAAATATCATTGTATTAGAGAAACTGAGGGTACAATCTTGGTTACCACTTGCCACTCCCCACCTCTGAGCCCCTATACTAAGGTCATTCACACTCTCACCTACGGAAAGAGCTAATGCTGCTCTCCTTAAATGGTCAGGAGATTCTCACTAAACTAAACAGTTTTACAGACTATTTCCCACTGGAGACTGAAGCCCCGATTCAGCAAGATACTAATCAGATGCCTAACTTTAGGTATGTAAGTATTCCCACTGAAATCAAGGACTAACCAGGTACTTAAGAGTAAAATATATGC